TTTAGTTTTACATTGGTTTAGACAATTAAAATACATAATCTAATTTTAATTTTCCTTAAATATTTAGTAATGCAACTAATACTTATTAAACTTATTTTAGTATGATTTAGTACTTTTAAATTATGATCATTTTCATTATGACTTTGCAATATTTATTTTATATGATGATTTCATTATTATTTTTTATTGAATATTTTAGTGTCATCACTTATCTCATATTTTGTGTTATTTTCTTAAGAAATGCCTTAGATAATTGTATTTTGGTTGGACTAAAGAAATATTTGAAGCACAAGTTAATTATATGTTTGTATGCAAACTTTACCGAAAAATCCGAGGTTTATTAGTTTGGTTTCATTTATAAATTTAAAAATTCGACACAATGGTTTGGTTTGGTATTTGAAAAATCCGAACCAATCCGAGGTTGAAAAACCCGAAAAAATCTGAATTTTATTAATTTGGTTTGGTTTATAAATTTAAATTTTTTACACAAATAATTTGATTTAATATTTGAAAAACCCGAACCAATCCGGTCATGTATACCCGTAATTGTGTGTATTAAAAAAAAGAAGGTGTATTCAACGTTACATCAAAATAAGCAATTTAATATAAGGTGTTTAGATTGTTAGAAAATAGCATACACAGCGGAAGCATTCCAGAATCATACATCTTGCATGAGTATAGACAACAATCACAAATACGTATCACATACAAGGTATGCTGAAAATTAACTCAGGATTACCTCTTGAAGCGTGTGCAGATATCTTGAAGCAAATCCAACTCCAGCTCTACAGTCTTCTACAGTGATCCCAATTAACAATTGAACTCTCTCAATACTTGGGTGGGCAAGTATCGTATAGAATACTGAATTGTCTTTCTAGGTTAGAAGAATCCCTACTTATAGAGATGTCTTCCCAGTCCAAAAAAGGAGAAGAAAGTATAAATCCTTATTCTTCAAGAAAACCCCAAAACTCACGTTTCTTTCTTGGAGGAAAATATACACGTTACTTTTCCTTCTTCTACTAGAAAATAGGATTCTGAGTTCTAGTTAAATTGGGCACTGGAGGGACCACAGAATTTATTACTGAGGCTTCCTATTATGGAAATAATTCCAAATAATTAATTTGAATTATTCTTACCATAATAAATTACAAATCATTCCACTAAAAATTCGTAATTGCACTCCTCTATTTATATTTCGAAATTCACCATTAAACACTTATGTAATTCCCCATGTTAAGATTCCAGATACTAATCAATAAATTAAATTACTGACGAATTTAATTCAATGATTAATTTCCTTTAGAGCAACACTTAACTTATTTCATGTGCCAGATTCATAAATCTACCGGCCGGGTTTACACATGAAAACTTATAAGTTTCTCATAAAAAGGTGTATCATCAATCTCTATACTGAGACATGGATTCCATCAACTAACTAATTATTTCACCAATATATATTATTATCATCCAATCTACCAGGCATATTGACCCATCTCAGAATCTCACCTTTTAATAAATCAAAACAATAATTAATATATACAGATCATAATCGTTATATCAAGATTAAGAATATAAGTACATTTAACAGTTTAGAGAATATGTTTTTATCAGTCAGTCTAAAACATCTATCTCTGCTTGGTCCCGTTCAATACATACAAAATGCACTAGCACGAGAAGTTAGAACTATACCATTCTCATAATCAAGATAGATTACATTTAATCTCGTGCTACAATCTTTCTGATGGTTTTGTCCAAAATTTCCATCTACGATTATGAACTATAACTTTTAACTTATAAGAACCGATGATTTAATCTTCTGTGTATAAGCTTAAACTCTATACACTAAATCATCTACTATATAAGTTAAGGACACATATATGAAAATTGATCTATTTAATGTAACACTTTATTGAATTGAATAAATGAATAAACAATTGTTCAATAATAATACTATATCAAAACGCATGGTTAATAGTATATCCTAACAAGGACTTCCCAATAGTAATTTCCATAGAGAACTTATTCTTTTGTTACCTGTTAAATAAATCATATATGTTTTTACATAAGAATGAATAGATTGATCTTATTCATAAGTTTGTAAAGATGTGTAATCCTAGTCCACATTTCATTATTAATCTTTATCTGATCAAATTTGCATTTTGTTCTTAAGGTTAAAATAAAACATTCAATATTAGAGCAACTGCATTGATTTGTGTACCTTTGGTAGTCACAAATCTCTCTATATTGTTTCCCCTGAGATCCAGATGTTTCAAGTTGCTCAAAGCAATTATGTCTAGACAGATAAATAAAAAATAAAAAATCAAACTATAATTTGATATGCGAAGAAATAAAATTGAGATATTTAGATGCATCATTAATATCTTAGTGGAGCAAAATATGCGTAACAAACCATTCATTTTGATATTTCCATTTATTTTATTGTCGACAAGTTCCAACTGCTTGAGAGATGGAAAAACCTTCAGTGATGAAAAGATGGTAGAATTGAAGTTATTATAATTCAAATTGAGTTTCTCTAAATTCCTCAGTCCACTATTTGCACCACCACCTGCATTTGATTTATGAAAAAAAAACTGTACTTAGGCTTAGTGTTATTTTGTTAATTGCTTTTTCTCTTATGGTAAAGAGAGCTTACCCAATGCAAAAAGGGTATTGATGTCACTGATTCCATAGCCTTCGAACCAGAGTTGTCTTAAATTGGTTAGCCCTCCACATTTCTTACTCATCCCTTCATCCAAAAATTACAACTATACTAAGTATTATATTGCAAAAATGGCCACAATTTCATATGTAGAGTTTATGTTGGAGGATATACTGCTATTATATGTCGTCGGTATGCTGAATGAGGTATCAGCATCTGCACCAAGTTTTAGAACCTCAAGAGATGAAATCGAACATAAAGATGATAGTAAAACTTTAGGATGGATCGGATTGAATTGCAAATCGACTTCTATCAGGTTAGGAAGCTGACTTAGTTTACTGAACCCTGGATCGGATAACAAAATAACATGTTAGTATATAGTAATATATAGTTTCCGTACGTATTCACAAGTCATACCTTCATTTTTTGTCCACCCTATAATATTTCTGTTAGACAATAAAAGAAATTGGAGGGACTTGAATGGAAGAAATAGAGAGGCATTAAATCTCCAATCATCCCCTGATCCAAACCTTTCACTTCCGAGACTGAGTTTGATCACTCGACCTGTTTCTAAGCTGCATTTTACACTTTCCCAAAAACAACAATCTATAAATCCATTGGCATTATAACCTTCCCAATCAACCAACAATTCGCCATTAGAACTCATTATGTTTGCCTGCAGCTCCAAGAGAGCATTTCTCTCTTCCTCCCAACAACCATTCGCCACAATTACTATTAGAAAAAACGCTAACAACAAAAGCTTAATGTTCCCCATCCCCATTATTACTCTATTTTCTTTTCTGGCAATCTAATTTGCTACCTAACGGAATGAATGTTTATATAGGAACTATATAGGGGCAGAATTATAGTAGTTTTTTTCTTAGGAATTCAACATAACTCAATAATTTTAACGTTAAATATTCAATTAATTTTAATATATTATTTTCTAAAATGCAAAAACTCATAATTTCAGTTATTATCTAAACAAGAAAATGGATGGTGGAAATGAAACTAGCTAGCTAGTTGAGTCAGCATCATTTCAATTTTGTTTGTTTTACTGATTCCAACATGACTTGAAAAGGTAAAGCAAGCTTTAAATATGTGAATTCCCACTTATTGTTATCACATACTGTATTTTCTTTTACTTTATTATTATCTCTTTCTCGATGAACAATTTCTAGATTTTTAAAGATATAATACCATCCTAAGCAGAAAAAGAAAAAAAAACAATATTTGTTTGGGTAAATCAAGAAATTAAATAATCCATATCATATTTATTAAATAAAACAAACAAATAACCGATCGACAAATTATATACATATTTTTAAAATTAAATATCAATAATATATTATTTCTTATAAATAATTAAAAATATCTTATATATGTTTTTATCAAAATTTATTTATTAAAGTAAAAAAGGTCAAGACGAGAGCATTTATCTTGTTGGTTTCATGTATATGGAGGCCTACGACAATTTATGGTGGGACTAGGAAAGACGTTGTCTCTTTCTTGTCTAGGCCAAAATTGGTGAATTTTGGAGCTTTATTCACAACAAGTTCAGCGATTGGAAATTCTGTAATACCATTCATTCTAACTATTTTTCTTTTTGAATGAATTGTTCCCCACCCCCATTAAGTGGATCATTTCTTTTATTTTCGTGTATAATTAATAATCGAATCAAAACGATAAATACAAATTTTATTTTATTTTAATAATTTAAAATCGGATTAAGTTGATTTGGTTTTATTTTGATCAATAACTCATTCCAACCGACGCTGAAAACTATTACTCCATCTGTCCCATTTTATATGACACTTTTCGGATTTCGAGATTCAAACAAAGCTATCTTTGACCGTAAATTTTTCTAAGATCTTTTAAACATTTTGAATTATCAATTATTGTGAGTTATAGTGCTTTTTTACGTAGTTTACAAATATATAAATTTCATTTCAAGAAATTTGAAGATTTCATGCGCAAATTGCCAATCAAACTTAAACTGTTTGACTCTCGAAAACGAAAAGTGTCATATAAATTGGGACATAGGGAGTACCTTTAAATACAACATTTACACCTTAAATATGATTTATTATTATCAGAACTGACTCATGCCAAAAGAAAGTGAAATTGTTCTATTAGTTTTCTTTACACAGTATCTCTAGTTGTTAGAGTTGGCATTGCTACTAATTAAGTGGTTCTTTTTGTACCAATATGAATTGTGGTGTAATGATGAGATTGCTTCATTCTCAATCAGAGGTCTCAGGTTTGAGTTCTGAATATGGAGAAAATTATATTGGGAGCGCCATTCGTTAGAGGGCTATGTAGTGCTCAATTCAAATTTAATCGAGGCTTTAATGCGGACTCCAAACACACTACGAAACAAAAAAAAGTGGTTTTATTTGTAAAAGGAGCTATAGCTCTATGGATTATAGTCTCTTGAGCTAGTTTTAAATCTTTTCCTACTTGGTTAAATAATATTCAGTTCAATTAGAAAAAATAAAGTGAGTCATGCCAACAACATTAGCAATATAGTTTTAATTGTTGTAACGTTCTATTTACCATATTTTGTGTGTAATCCATCCCCCACTTTTTTTTTTGGCTATGAAAACATATGTTAATTCATTATAATTGAAATGTCAATTTTTCTTTTTTAATTATTAGTTTATATAAATCGAACATTTTAAAAAAAGAAAACCAAAATACCAGTCAAACCCAGTGTGTGGACGCAATTGTCGAAAAAGACTTATAAATTAATGAATTTTATGTATTTTTAGAACAAAAAGATTAAATGATCTAGGAAGTATCTAAGAAATAGTGAAGAACGTTCATTTAAAATTATACATCGTTAATTTGACGTATCATATGATGAAGGGTTCCCACGTTGTTAGGTGATGTAATAATTGTGGCCACAATTAATTTAAGTTTGAATAGTTCTATTTCAATTTGACAATCTAAAAGTGTGTAATTCTAGTCAAATAGTTCTACGGTAAAATCTCACTAAATTAATATGACCATAAAATATTATTATCTTATAGAGATATTATTTAATCGATAAACACTACAAAAAATATGAGAATTACATGGGGATTTTCCTAGGAATTAGTATGAAAATCCATAGGAAACTTATTTTCCTACAAATTTCCATACTAATCTCAAGAAAATCCCCATGTAATTCAAACTTTTCTTGTAGTGAAATTAATAATTATTAATTTAAAGAGTGTTTGAGATTCAACCTTGTGATGTTATGATAATAAGAGCTTTCAAGATGTGTATTATCACAACAACTTTTACTGTAGGATATAAGAAGGTTATGAAGTGAGACAAACTTATCCAGGAAAGATTAATGTTTTGGATGCTATCAATTTTGCAATGCTGGCTTGGACGACAAATATAATGTTTAGCAAGAGACAATAACAAATTATTTTTGACACTACAGTAAAATTTGTTTGAAGGATGAAATCTCAGAGAATTTAAATGAACGCACTTGTGGAAACATCATTCATGAACTTGAGGTCATGATTAATGATCTCGATTACCGCAATAAAAATGAACGTCAATAACCTATTGGATTACCAGGTGAAAATGATACATGTTTTGAGGTGCGGAACTTAGAAGAAATTGTAGATCTCATAAAAATAACGATCATGCTAAAGTTGAAGATGATACAATACCTTTGAAACCAGTTACGCATAAGGAAACACTTATCGCATCTAGAACTCTTCACAATTTTATGGTGCAGTTCGAAAAGACAACATTTGAACTTTTGGATGCAAAAAGAAAAGTTAGAGATGAACTTCAACTAGATTTATAGTTTAACCAAAAAAAAAACACAATAAAATCACATTTCACTAAATAGGAGTATTAAATATATTTGTACTTTTAAAGAATTATTAATTTATAATTTTAATGAGACCATATATTTATATAGGGGTTTTCTAAAAATATATCATCTTATTATCTTATAGAAATAGGTGATTTTCTCCATTGGCCCAAGTCGGGACCGGATGAAAATATTATCTTAGAGAAATTATTAATTTAGTGAGGTTTTACTGTATTTGAATTTGAAAATGTCAAGTGTGTAATTTGTTTACATGTGAATCACCTTTAGTACATGGTACCTCATGTTTTGTAACACACGGAGGAGATTAAGAGTCTGTTTGATATTGCTCCTAAAAACTGTTTATTTTTAGAAGCGTTTTTTAAAAATATCTTTTCAGAAAAAGTACTTTTCAAAAAAAGCAATTTGTGTTTGGTAAATTCATTTGAAAAGTGCTTTTGATAAGCAATTTGTGTTTGACTAATTTCTTATAAAAAAGTGATTTTAGTGTCAAATTACGAAAAATGACAAGTATCACTGTGCTTTTAATATTAAGATTATTTTATAGAGAGAAACAATTTTAAATATCTAATACATAAACTTTAATTACATTTTTAATTTAATTAATTAAAATGTAAATATTCAAATTTTAAATCAATATTATAAATAGATAAAAAAATGTTGAAAAATATTGAAAGGAGAATTTTTTTTTGGTTATTTTTTTACCTATTTTTTGGATTATATCTTGACTATTATCCTTGTTTTTTTGTTATAATACTCTAGAGTTATATAAATTTCAAATTAAAATAAAAAATAATACGTAAATTAAGAAAAGAATAATTCGTTATTTGGAGTACTTTTTTGTGAGGGTTTAAATCTTTAATTGTTACGTTTTCTCTTATATTTAACCCTACAAAAATATTGTTGTTACTTTTATTTCTAATTCTGTAAAATAATATGTAAAATAGTATATACAAAATAAAATATAAATAATCATAATAATAATATAAAAACGTAAAAAAAATATCCTAGAAAAATAAATTAAAATAAAATTCTTGAATGAAAGTTAACCAAACTTATGAGATATGTTAATTAATTAATAAGTGATATATTGATAAATATGCATATATGTAAGGGATATTTTAGTCTTAAAAATTCTGCTTCTGCTTCTACTTTTTTTAAAAGCCAGAAACTTTAGCTTCTTCTCAACAGCAGAAAACTGCTTTTGCTTCCATTTAAAAGCAGTTTTAAAATTTTGCCAAACACTTAATTTTTCAAAAAAAAAAAAAACTCTCAAAAAAGCACTTACTAGGGTTGTTCAAGGTTATGGTTAAACAACCAAACTGAAACTTTAGAACGTCATTTGAGACTTGTGCTTTTCTTTTGAATCAATTGTAATACTTTAGAGACTTGTACACGTGACAATTAGGTTTTGGGGGTATTTTTAAGTTGATTATAATTTTTTGCATTTTATCATAATTATTGAATTTTAGGCTGACTTGCCTTGGTGGGATAAGACGAGTGCCATCACGTCCATTTTTGGGTCGTGAAAAAATGGTATCAGAGTCTTCTTAGCAAACACATTGTAGCCTCTAAAAATTTCAAAATATGGATCTCTCTTTCCATTTAAGCATTACATTACAGATATGAGTCACACCCAAGACTGATAGCACTACTTTCAAATTTACAATACTTTCCCATCGAGGTACAATAATTGAATCACACCCAATGTCAACTTCACACGAACTTTCACATACCATTTTCAACTACCATTCTTACCTTCATGTACCTTATGCCAAAACTCAAAGAAATTCTTGGTCACTCCAATAATTTTATATACTATAAGCATATAACCTCTATTTATTATCAAGTGTCTATGTAACACATCACATCAGTTTTTGCATAGTCTCATTTAAAAGAGTAATTTCAATCCCCTCAAAATGCTCAATAGCCATGTATAACTGCATTGCGTCCATAAAATAAATCAATGATTTTATACATATAAGAATTTGAGAATACTTGAATTCATTCATACCTGCAATACTGG